CAGACTCTAACAGCTGACTCCAGCCCTCCTCTGGTCCTCCTCTAGACCCTCATGAGAAGCTCATCTCTGCCCTCCCATCTCAGCAGTCGGCAGCAAAGAGGAGGACTTCTCCTCCTGTAGGTCCTGCACCTCTCTGTACAGCCGCAGTACTCCACCTCCCCTGGTTTCACCCAAAAGGGGAAGTTCCGCTATAAAGATTGTTCCCCCGCTCCCCATTAAGGATTGGCACCTTTGGGGATCGGGTGGAGGGGGCGGGTACCTGAAATTGACAGGTACCTGTTCCCACTTCCGCTGCACTCGCCTAGGTGATCGGAAGCGGAAGTTGTCCTCCTTCCCCGTAGTCTTGGGGGACACGTGTCAGGTCACAGAAGACGACGGGGCCATTCAGGAAGTGCAGCGCTTCTCGCACATCCGCAGTGGGCACCCAGCAGTGAAGCTGTCACAGCCGGGGGCCCACACTGAAGATGCCGGCACCTGGAATACAGGATGGCCGGTGAAACGGGCTGCGGGGAGGACACTGCGGGATCATGGGACAGGTGAGTGGCTGTTTTTTAAAAGTCAGCAGCTACATTTTTTGTAGTTTTTATAGCTGCTGACTTTTATTTTTTTTACAGTGTGACTGGAACTCCGCTTTCACTGCTACTTTGGTTGCATTTTGGATGTAGTTTGCATATTCTATGGGGACAAGAGAGATATTTGGCTCAGAAAGAAGAAAAAGAGCAGCTGTATGATGTGATGGATAGTACATTGACCCCACAAGTAAAGTCCTTGAAGTCCAGAGGTGGTTGAGGGATAATCCAACAATGCTTGACTCAAGAAGAGCGAGAAGAGGCTTTTGTGTGAACCATAACAAGGAGAGAAGCAGCGCCATCTAAGTGCAGCAATAAAAACAAAGAATTTATTTCCACAAAATTGCCCAATCACAACAGCAGTAGTCGAATGAGCGCTTGTTAAACTGGTGTCAACCGCTGCGCAAGTCCCAGCCGGTCCCGCTGCAGGCAGCTCTCCAATACACTGTCCTTGGCCGTGTTGGTGGTTCCCAATACTTCCTGGTCGGTGTGGATCCTCAGGCCAGGCGGGAGTGATGTCAGCTCCAGGTGCAGCAGCAGCCGTGATATGCGTTCAGACCATGCATGCTCCTTCATCGGGCCATAGAGGGGGCATACTAGGGTCGCTGGTTCGAATCCCAACCCCGGCACCACCTGCCTGGAGTTTGCATGTTCTCCCTGTGTCTGCGTGGGTTTCCCCCCCGGGTACTCCGGTTTCCTCCTACACTCCAAAGACATGCTGGTAGGTTAATTGGCTTCTGTCTAGATTGACCCTAGTGTGTATATGTATGAATGTGAGTTAGGGACTTTATATTGTATGCTCCTCAGGGGCGGGGACTGATGTGAATGTACAATATGTATGTAAAGCGCTGTGTACATTGACAGTGCTATATAAGTACCTGACATAAATACATCTATTGGCAAATGATAGTGGCGGACTATAGAGCCCAGCCAACTCATGGAGAGGCCCAAGTGTCATCATAGGTTAGTACAAAATACATATCAAGCCTCCCTCTCCTAATCTGATTAGACTAAGAACTCTTACATGGAAATCTAATAAATAAAATACCATAAACATATAAGGAGGCTATTAAGGGAAAATGATGCAAATGAGGCGTGTATCTCACTGAGCTCTATGACATGGAGACCATGAGGGTCATGTATGAATAAACAGATATGTAAACGTAGAAATGTTAATACATAAATGGTGATTCCATACGATTGAAAATGTGTGTAAAACATTCCAGATGATATTGCTAGCTATGCCATTTGGGACAATGAAATTATGCAGAACAAGAGAAAATAAATCTAGAATTGAAATATAATGAGAATGGTGGAAGGATGGCCAGCTACCGGAGATATTAGGGAATGGATGTAACTATGTATAAGCTGAAGCACTGGAGGGATCAGGTGAGTGGGTGGAATCGTAGAGTATTGGATAATCACTAGCTGGCAGAAACAAAGCATATGGTGTACAAACAAACATGTAACATGTGGATCAATTATAGTGCCGAGAAAATGAGGGGAAAAAAATGGTACCAAGAGACAGACGGGAGGGGTGGTGGAACCCCCAAACAACTCCATGACTAAAAGAAACTAAAAGTGGAGAACAACAATGGAGGCAATGCCAAGGAGATATATCCGTAAAATATTTAGAGAACTTTGCTGACTTCAAGTTCCTCATTCAATCCGCCAGGAGCCAAAGTGTCCAAGGTATAGATCCAAAATGTCTCTTTTTCACAGAGACGTTTAAAATGTTCTGCTGTTGGTAGGTGACAGAATATGGCCTCAATGACCCAGACCATCAGACCCCGAGAGGATCATTGATGAAATTCCATTAAGTTCCAAGGGTACACTGTGTTTGTTGATGCCATCCACAACGAAAAAATTGTGTTTCCTAAACCTCTTCTTGAGGGTCCGGATGGTATGGCCCACGTACAGCAAGTCGCATGGACAAGAGAGACAGTAGACCACATATTCAGATGAACAGGTGTGGAGCTCAGAAATGGGGAAAGTGTTACCTTTCGTGGTGAAGTCTCTCTGTCCATGTCGGACATGCTTGGTGAAATTCCAGGAAGTTCCTGGGGACACTGTGTTTGTTGATGCCATCCACAACGAAACAAGAATGTTCCCCAAACCTCTTCCTGAGGGTCCGGCCCACATACCAGTCTCATATTACCTACTATCTACCCCCTCCATCAGATTGGTTGAGTCCAGACCAATAACCCATTCTTCACATTTAGAATCAGCAGCTGATGTTACATCAGCTCCACCATCTTACTCAAAGGAGTATCCACTTTCAATACCACATTGGTTGAACCTAGACCTACAGTTAGTTCACCATCCAGTGTGTCCACCAATAGCCCCATTCTTACACCTGCAGTACCAACAATGAATACAGCCAACAGTCTCGTTTGTCGTGACAATGATGTCACATGTAATGGTCCACCCATGGGCAATGTAGGTATTACAACATGTTCAGAATCGGTCACAATAGCAGATCATACATTATCTCCACAGTCAGAGTGAACCCCCCCCCCCCCCCATCTGGCCCAAAAGAAAGCTTGGAGAAGAGGCAGGAGAGGGGGAGTTAGAAGATATAAAAAGGAGAGGAAAGCTCCGCAAGAATGTAAAAATATTTAGTCTCTCAAATCACATCCTTTCCTGTTCAGAAATTTCCTTAGTCGGGGACTTAGCTTTGCCCCCTCCACGCCACCTGACCTGTTTACCTTTTTTTGTCGATTTAAATAGATTTATCAGGAACCTCAAAGTCAAACTCTATTACAACATCCAAGCCCCTCAAAACCAACAATGGTGATGATTCTAGTAATAATTCCATTCTAGATAATTCCCCAGAAACCATGTCACTAAATGATATGACCCGGGCGCATCTGGAGGACCTTTATACAGAGGATGATGAAAATTATCTCATGTTCCTTTCCCAACTTCTTCCCACCTCTCCCCTGGTCCAACATACAACCCTTCGACTGAGATCCATTTTTAACCTCACCTTAGCCAAGGGCCCATATCGGCAAAGTTTTTTTATCAGGTGGTATATGCGGATATACCCTGTAAAAATAATTGCTCAGAGAATTCATGGAAAAAGTTGCTGACGAGTGACGGTCCGTGCAATCACCAAGGGTCGGATACAACTGACTGGATAGATAGATAGAGATATGCAGATACCATACGCATGTGTAATAGGACCTTCAGTCCCACACATTCACAGTCTAAGCTTGCCACCATGGAGACTCAAGCACTCTGCAATCTGTCCCAGAACCATGAAATGATGATCAAACCATCTGATAAGGGTGGGACCATCGTAGTTCACAATAGAGCCGACTATCTTAACCACTAGCCTACAGGGCACTTCTACCCCCTTCCTGCCTACAGGGCACTTCTACCCCCTTCCTGCCTACAGGGCACTTCTACCCCCTTCCTGCCTACAGGACACTTCTACCCCCTTCCTGCCTACAGGGCACTTCTACCCCCTTCCTGCCTACCGGGCACTTCTACCCCCTTCCTGCCTACCGGACACTTCTACCCCCCTTTCCTGCCTATCCAGGCACTTCTACCCCCTTCCTGCCTACAGGGCACTTCTACCCCCTTCCTGCCTACAGGGCACTTCTACCCCCTTCCTGCCTACAGGGCACTTCTACCCCCTTCCTGCCTACAGGGCACTTCTACCCCCTTCCTGCCTACAGGACACTTCTACCCCCTTCCTGCCTACAGGACACTTCTACCCCCTTCCTGCCTACAGGACACTTCTACCCCCTTCCTGCCTACAGGGCACTTCTACCCCCTTCCTGCCTACCGGGCACTTCTACCCCCTTCCTGCCTACCGGGCACTTCTACCCCCTTCCTGCCTACAGGGCACTTCTACCCCCTTCCTGCCCACTTCTATCCCCCTACAGGGCACTTCTACCCCCTTCCTGCCTACGGGCACTTCTACCCCCTTCCTGCCTACAGGGCACTTCTACCCCCTTCCTGCCTACAGGGCACTTCTACCCCCTTCCTGCCTACCCTTCTACCCCCTTCCCGCCTACAGGGCACTTCTACCCCCTTCCTGCCTACAGGGCACTTCTACCCCCTTCCTGCCTACAGGGCACTTCTACCCCCTTCCTGCCTACAGGGCACTTCTACCCCCTTCCTGCCTACAGGACACTTCTACCCCCTTCCTGCCTACAGGACACTTCTACCCCCTTCCTGCCTACCGGGCACTTCTACCCCCTTCCTTCCCATGCCAATTTCCAGCTTTCAGCGCTATCACACTTTGAATGACAATTGCGCGGTCATACAACACTGTACCCAGATGAAATTTTTATCATTTTTTTGTGACAAACAGAGCTTTATTTTGGTGGTATTTAATCACCTCGGGGATTTTTATTTTTTCTTAAACAAATCAAAAACCACTGAAAATTTTGAGAAAAAAAAGTTTTTTCTTAGTTTTTGTTATACAATTTTGTAAATAAGTGATTTTTCTCCTTCACTGATGTGCGCTAATGAGGCTGCACTGATGGGCACTGATAGGCTGCACTCATGGACACTGATAGGTGGCACTGATGGGCACTGATGAGGAGGCACTGGTAGGTGGCACTATTGGGCATTGACAGGCATCACTGATGGGCACTGAAAGGCAGCACTGATATATGGCACTGACTGGCACTAATAGGCGGCACTGACTGGCACTGATAGGTGGCACTGACAGGCACTGATAGGTGGCACTGATGCGCACTGATAGGCAGCACTGACTGGCACTGATAGGTGGCACTGACTGGCACAGATAGGTGGCACTGATTGGCAGCACTGATAGGTGGCACTGACTGGCACTGATGGGTGACACTGAAAGGCAGCTCAGATGGGCACTGATATGTGGCATTAATGTGCACTGGTAGGCAGTGATATGTGGCACTGATGGGCACTGGGGCACAAGGCACTGATGAGCAGTGACAGCTGGCACTGATGGACACTGACAGGTGGCACTGCTGGGGCTACATTGATCATCAGGGCACACTGATCATCTGTGCCTTGATAATCAGTGTACATGTCCCCTCCGTGGAATTCCAATTACAGGCTCTCCTCTCCTCTGTCAGCGTGACAGCTTGAGAGGAGAGAAATGCCGATAACTGGCATTTCCCTGTTTCCATGTGATTGGACACAGCTGATCACATGACCGAGCCGACATCTTTGGCTCTTTCCGTGATCGGTGATCCGCTGTGTCCGAGGGACACAGCGCATCGCCGATAGCCACGCTGCGCGCTCCCTGAGCCGCGCCTGCGCAGTGAGACTGGGAGGACGTCATATGACGTCCTCCCAGAACGAGAGAACCACCTTGCACCCGTCATTGGACTACATGGCGGGTGGGAGGTGATTAAAGAATCCTCTATCTATCCGACACCAGTACATACAAAAGGCTGAGATGTGACCCATTACCACAGTTCAAAGAGGAGGCCCGTGCTCTTATAGAAAGAGCTTCTAGAGAAGGTATAATTGACAAAAGTGAAACAGCTTTCCTCAAAAAGGAATTTCACAAAAGACCATATTTCTACCATCTACCTAAGATTCATAAAGATGCTGCTCACCCACCAGGGCGTCCTAACTTAGCAGCCATGGAGAGTGTTACCAACTATTTTTCTTTTATATTGACCATTTCTTACAACCATTGGCCCAGAGTCTCTTCCATCATACATTCGTGATGGAATACACCTATTGGATACGCTGAAGAACTATACTTGGGAGCCCACATGCCTATGGCTATCACTTGATGTGAACTCCCTCTATAAATCCATACCCCATGAGGTTGGTTTGAAGGCTGTACAACACTTCTTGGAAAAACGTGTGCAAAGAAACAAACAGAGGGCGCACGGGCCTAGTGCATCGCCTTCTAAAAATGAGATTTATTGAATAAAAGTAGTATACTCATAAAAGAATAAAATCAAAGGCACCTCACAAAAAAGACAGTATGGTCCAATCTCCCTAGATGGTGGCTGTTGGGGCACTGTAGGCCTCCAAATTCCTGAAGCGTTTCAACAGCCACCATCTAGGGAGATTGGGGACCCGCGGATGTGGCTGTCTTTTGTAGTGTGAGGTGCCTTTCCGAATTTGAATTCTTTTGTGACTATACTACTTTTATTACGGGGGATGAATAAATGGGGAATGAATCATTTTACTATAAGGGGGATGAATTGCTATATGGGGCATGAGGCTAATGGGGATGAATTACTATATCGATGGGGGATGAATTTTCACTATATGGGGGATGAATTACTATATGCGGGATGAATTACTATTTGGGGGATATGAATTACTATGGGGAATGAATTTAATTGACTATATGGGGGATGAATTACTATGCGGGGATGAATTACTATAGGGGGGTGATGAATTACTATATGGGGGATGAATTACTATTGAATTACTATGATGAATTGAATTTTACTATATGGGGGATGAATTACATATGGGGTGATTTACTATACGGGGATGAATTACTATATGGGGGATGAATTACTATGGGGGGATGAAATTACTATAGGGGGTTGAATTACTATGTTGCTTTTATGGGGATGAATTACTATATGGGGGATGAATTCAAGTACTATATGTGAATTAATATGGGGGATGAATTACTTACTGACATTGTGGGGGATGAATTGCTATATGGGGCATGTCCTAGCCCATGAATTACTATATGGGGGTATGGATTACTATATGGGGGATGAATTACTATATGCAGAATTACATTATGGGGGAATGAATTACTATAGGGGGATGCTATGGGGAATGAATTACTATATGGGGATGAATTACTTTGGGGGATGAAGTACTATATGGGGGATGCTAATATGGGGGATGAATTACTATATGGGGGAATTACTATGGGGGAAATGATATTACTATGGTTTCTCTAGGATGAATTACTATACAATTACTATATGGGGGATGAATTACTATAATGGGGATATGAATTACTATATGGGGGATGAATTACTATATGGGGGATGAATTATATGGGGATGAATTACTATATGGGGGGATGAATTACTATATGGGGGATGAATTACTGGGAAAAGAATTACTATAGGGGGATGAATACTATATGGGGGGATGAATTACTATAAGGGGGTATGAATTACTATAGGGGGGATGAATTTACTATATGGGGATTTACTATGGGGGCATGAATTACTATATGGGGGATAATTACTATAGGGGGAATGAATTACTATATGAGGGATGAATTACTATATGGAGGATGAATTACTACTTAAATTACTATATGGGGATGAATTACTATGGGGGATGAATTACTATAGGGGGGATGAATTACTATAGGGGGGATGAATTACTATATGGGGGATGAATTTACTATGGGGGATGAATTACTATAGGGGGGATGAATTACTATGGGGGATGAATTACTATATGGGGGATGAATTACTATGGGGGATGAATTACTATAGGGGGGATGATGAATTACTATATGGGGGATGAATTACTATAGGGGGGATGAATTACTATAGGGGGATGAATTACTATGGGGGATGAATTACTATATGGGGGATTAATTACTATGCTTACTATGGGGGAAATATTACTATACTTACTATGGATGACACATACATCATTCATCTACTCTTGGTCCGGCCCCCGGGTCCAATATATGAACCCATTGCTATGAAGGGCAAAGTTTGCCCACCCCTGATCTAAGGAGATTGACCATGCTGTCTTTTTTGTGTTGTGCCAATTTATTCTTTTGTGACATACTACTTTTATTCAATAAATCTCATTTTTAGAAGGTGATGCACTAGGCATAACTGAGTGTGCCCTGTTTGTTTCTTTGCACACATTAGGGCAGCAAGGTTGCATTCCCAAAAAAGCACTCCATGTGGGGGTTACTGACATTGTGGAGCTCATCGTCCAGCGCAGGAGTTTCAGCATTCATTTGCTCATGCTTTTTTATCAGACTTCTTGGAAAATGTTTCTCTACTTAACCCTAGACAGGCACATTTTATTTTAGAAACCACTGAGTTTTGTTTGACCCATAATTATTTGGAATTTAACTTACAGACCCAGGGCACGGCTATGGGGGCAAATTTGCCCCTAGCTCTGCTAATATTATTATTGGTCTGTGGGAACATCAATCAGTCTGAAAAGACAACCCTTCTGCAGCCCATATCATCTTTTATGATGATATTATTATTCATCTGGGACAGTTCGGCCACGTTTAGTGGAGTCACTCGTAGCACTGTTACAACAACAACAACATGAGGCTGTCCTTTACCTCAGTCTGTGATGAAGAAAAACTGGCTTTTCTAGATTTGGAACTATGTCACGAGGGTAATACCATCTATAAAAGAAAAAGCCCCACAAAAGGATATAGCACCTCACAGGCTAATAAGCAGTATATAAATGTGTTAAGGACGTAACAATGAGACAAAACGTATCATATAGTCAAACAATGCATGTACCCAATGCAATACCATCTATGCCCATAATTACACCAAGCCCACGACAGGCAACTCTTATCCACACTTTCAGAGCTGCCACCATCCACGTTGGGTACAAACATACCGAAAAGCCAGTTTTGTTGGCTCAGACATTATCACGTACCTGGTGATGGAGGCCAATGGAGAGAGGGCTTCCCTTGCGGCTAGGTTTCCGGACTCCCCTGAGAGTGGGACAGAGGGAGTCAGACTCCTCTGAGAGTGGGGCAGCGGGAGTCAGTCCCAAAGTTGCACAGGTCGCCTGTAGGAGTGCTGGTTGGTGGTCCAGTCAGAAGCACAGCTGGTGCATGGAGATAGGTCTGCAGACAGGAGGCGCCAATGCGTGGTATGCAAGCCCTTCCGGGATTTAGATGTTTACTGGGTAGTCGGTTCAAGCCAAGGTCAGGTACCAGGTGGGAATCAGAGCAGACATAGTCAGATGGGATGGCCGAGGTCATACACATAGGAGTCAGAGAGAGAGAGAGTTCCGTAAGCCAAGCCGAGCGCAGATCAGGGGTAAAGCAGAGAAGACAGGTCCAGGAGCAAGCTGAGCCGGTATCAGGGAATCACAGGTCACAATCACAGGAAACAGGAACAAGGGCATGGGGAGCTAGAGATCATCCAGCAACTTGAGGAAGTGATGAGCCTCCTTATAAAGGCCGTCTGGCACCAAACTGAGGCTGATGTGTGCTTCTGCGGCCATGTAGGATCTTCCAGAACTTCTGCCGTGGACAGGACCCTGACTGACACAATTGTACCCGTGATACAAACTATATTACCCACGGCCACTGTTTAAAAGACAAATTCTTAAAGAAAGGTTACCCCAGCACACCTGTGGAAGAGGCCTTTTTCCTTTATCTCACTGATAGAGTCAAAATAGAAAGAAGCAAGGCACCCACTTGTACTCTGCGACCTCTCAGGTTCACTACCCAGTTCCATACGTAGTCCAGAAATATAGTCCCTACTGCTTGAGGATCCCCACCTAAAATCATCACTTATAGCCAGGCCCAAAGTTTCCTATAAACGGGCCCCAAATATTAAAAGTAAAATATCTACAAGCAAGGTCGAAGGTTTTCAGGCAAAGATAGGTCCTTCTTTAACCTTCTCTACCATCAAAGGCATGTATCAGTGCCATAAACCCAGGTGTCTCAAGCAGCATGTCTTACATGGAGAGAGACTTCACCACGAAAGGTAACACTTACCTCATTTCTGAGTTCCACACTGTTCATCTGAATATGTGGTCTACTGTCTCTCTTGTCCATGCGACTTGCTGTACGTGGACCATACCATCCGGACCCTCAGGAAGAGGTTTGGGAAACACAATTGTTTTGTTGTGGCAAACATGGTGTCCCCAGGCACTTCCTGGAATTTCACCAATGATCCTCTCAGGGTCTGACGGTCTGGGCCATTCAGGCCATATCCCGTGCCCTACCAACAGCAGAACATTTTAAACGTCTCTGTGAAAGAGACATTTTGGATCTATACCTTGGACA